TTATCTAGTTCTAGACTCAGAGACAAAGTTCTTTCCTTTGGCTCTGGTTTGAAGACCAAAGTTTGAATACCCTTCCTGTAACCAATAAGGTTTTATCCATTACTTTGCTGTTTCAAACTAAAATAAAGAGAGGTATAATGATGCATAAACAAGTTGTTGACATTATGAAACTTTTTTCTACACAATAACTGATTTTGGTTAACTGAATATAAGTGGCTTAACATCTGAAAGAACAATTTAAAATAAGCCGCCAGTTTTTTCCTCGGGTCCAAAAGATTATGATAATATGCACAAGCTTTCTCAGATGACTACACACAAAGTCTTACTCTTATATGAAGCACAAAACATTATGACACTGAATTCATTTATACAGTTTCACTACAGTATAAATTTTTTTTCATGTTTTTGAAAAATACACAAATTAACTTCAGGGTTTCTCTACAGAAGGGCTCATATTACATATATGGAGGTGATTGTGAAAAAGAATTTACCACATTCGATTCACAGGTATCTCTAGAGTATATTACATTTTAAGCCTTTTAGGAGTACAGGGGTCTGCAAAGGCCTTATCACACTGATATCATTCAGTTTCTCTCCAGTATGTGTTCTTCTATACATCTGCACCACGCTGAGCAAAGGCCTAACCACACTGCTTACATTCACAGGGTTTCTCTCCAGTATGTGTTCTTTTATGGCTTTGAAGATTATTGTGGTGTGCAAAGGCCTTACCACACTGATTACATTTATAGGGTTTCTCTACAGTATGTGTTCTTTTATGCAATTGTAGATGATTATGTCATGCAAAGGCCTTACCACACTGCTTACATTCATATGGTTTTTCTCCAGTATGTGTTCTTTTATGGGTTTGAAGATTATTGTGGTGTTCAAAGGCCTTATCAACTGATTACATTCATAGGGTTTCTCTCCGGTATGTGTTCTTTTATGCACTCGAAGATGACCATGACGTGCAAAGGCCTTACCACAATGATTACATTCATAGGGTTTTTCTCCAGTATGTGTTCTTTTATGATTTTGAAGACTACTCTGAGCTGCAAATGCCTTACCACAGTGATTACATTCATAGGGTTTCTCTCCAGTATGTGTTCTTTTATGCCTTTGAAGATTACCATGTTGAACAAAGGCCTTACCACAGTGATTACATTCATAGGGTTTCTCTCCAGTATGTGTTCTCTTATGCCTTTGAAGATCACTGTGCCATGCATAGGCCTTACCACAATGATTACATTCATAAGGTTTCTCTCCAGTATGTGTTCTTTTATGCAATTGATGATTACTGTGGTGTGCAAAGGCCTTACCACACTGCTTACATTCATAGGGTTTCTCTACAGTATGTGTTCTTTTATGCCTTTGAAGATTACTGTGACATCCAAAGGCCTTACAACACTGATTACATGCATAGGGTTTCTCTCCAGTATGTGATCTTTTATGGCTTTGAAGAGTACTTTGTTGTGCAAAGGCCTTACCACACTGATTACATTCATAAGGTTTCTCTCCAGTATGTGTTCTTTTATGGCTTTGAAGATGACTGTGATGTGCAAAGGCTTTACCACACTGATTACATTCATAGGGTTTCTCTCCAGTATGTGTTCGTTTATGACGTTGATGAGTTTCATAAAGAAGAAAGTCTTTATCATCTTGACCATATTCATAGGGTTTCTCTCCAGTGTGTGTTCTTTTATGCATTTCAAGATGATTGTGATAAGAAAAGACTTCATCACATCGCTTAATTTCAAAGCATTTTTCTCCGCTATGTGTTTTTTCATTCCTTAGGAGATAAGAGTTATAAGACAAGACTTTACCACAGTGAGAATATACTGAAAACTTCTCTCCAGTTTGATTTCTTTCAATCCTACAAGGATAATTTACACGTGTAAAAGCTTTACCACATTCAATGCAGTTGAACCTCATACCTTTATGAATTAATTTCATATTTTTTCAAATTGTAAAAAGGAATCAAATATCAAGGTTTTATACCTTTCTTTAAAATCATGTTTTGTTCTCTAATTAGGGGTCATTTTACATCTATAAAAATATTTGTGATGATAAATACCATTATGTCATGGTTTATCTTTTCATCTATAACTATACCTATATTTTTCTATGATATTTGTTACATTTTTGAAGAGAACTGCATATACTGAGTACTTTACCAACATTATTCCATTCATAATTTTACTATATTATGAATCATTATACATTTGGTAAGTGAACTAAGACACCCACAAGTATTTGCATAGACCTAGAACTCATGTTTGTTTGTTTTTGTTGTAATGTGAGTTTGTAGTTATGTATTAACCATGATGATAGAAAATAAATTAACTTTGTATTTGCAAATCAAATTAAACATGTACACTCTACATAGGAACTACAGTTTATCTTCTTAATTTTTCTTAAGGAGAAGTATGCTGAATCTTTCCATATTCCTATGCTCACACACTTGTGTCAAGAGTGACATGTCATATATGTGTGTGTGTGTGTGAAAAAAAAATAGTGTATAAAAGATTTCCAAAATGAATCCATAAGACTTTCACAGACTTGTGGTATAGATATTAAGGTTTCTCCACAACAACTGCCCATTGACCCTTGACTAATCTGATTTCACTAAACTTAGCACAATCACAAAAAGTATATGAGGGATACAAGGCTTACTATGGGCTATTGAATTAGTAGAAAGTTTTGCAGCTATACTCAGGATCACTGAAATATGTATACATTTTTTGTCATGAATAGCAAGAAGCAAATGAAGCAGCAGTTCTACAACATAGCTCCCATGGTGCTATGAATCAAATGGAGATATCTGTTTAGGCATTGCTACCTAGATATTTTCTTCAATGAAGGCTTTGAGGTTGCAATTCACATGCATGAAATTGAGGTATATGGATTTTTGAGAACTTAATAACCATCAATACATTTAAAGCTGTGGTTATTTACACTATTGCTTTTGTTTTAAAGTTCCAGAACACATTACAAACTATTCAAGGAAAATTGTTATGAACTTGCCCAAGAAAATTACCTTGCATGTCTTCTAGAACATTGACAATGCTCTTCGGTGTTAAGGTCTTCCCAAGTGTATCCTAAAATACAGTACCAGAATAGATGTTATATTCTTTAAGAATGTGCAACAATTAGCTTATTATCTTAAGTGCACCTAAGAACTGTGACTGTGTTATTCACCTCATTCTTCTTTCTCTAAAACAAATTATAGAACAAAATCATAAACCAAGGAAAAGTTGTCTCTATCTTTTGAAACATGAAAGAAATTTATTTTCACCTATAGTAGTTAGGTTCCTGTAGGTTTCCAGCATCACATCCTTGTAGAGATTCTTCTGGGAAGGATTCAGTAAATCCCACTCTTCCTTAGTAAAGTTGATGTGCACATCATCATAGGTCACTGCCTTCAAAAATACAACATACATGAGTACAATGTAAGTATGACAGTGAACTGCATACTTCTTTGATATAAAAAAGTATAGTTTTATGATTCTGGTGTTCCACATTTTTGTTCCATGACATAGACAGTTACTTTAGAAGGAAATTGAAAAGAAGAATCAATTCTCTTATTTCTGTGTCCGTTGTATAGGATACCACCTTATAAGAACAGTATCTATTCACAGGGAGAGAAAAAGAGAAAAGATCAACAGTATATTATATGCATGAGAAAATTAATGCCTACAGAAAGGAAAAAAAATGATGGACAAACTTGGCATATTGGTGTATTTTGCCTTTACCACAATACTCAGCAAACAGAGGTGGGTATATTTGTCTCTGAGATGAATGCCAGTCAAGATTTAACAGAACTGCTTATCCATTTTTGGATACCATGTATTTTCTCAGAGGTTGAGGCATGAGCATGTCTTTGCCCAAAGACCAGTTTTGACAACAAGAAAACAAGCTCCAAGTGTCTTTGGTGCTCAACATTCTCCGGAAAATAGATCAATGCTACCAGTAGTAATCGTGTCTCACTTCAACAGGACCCTAGATTATTTAAATTCCATATTTTACAGCTCTTTGAAGTGGCTGAAGATTACCTATCTATGCAAAATATATTCTTTATGTGTGTGAAAAACCTGATTATTCTAACTATAAGTATGACAAACATAGATGACTATTGATCTATAATTCTAATACCTATATAACTTAAAGACTAAGACTTCATATTAGAATATTGTACAATAAACAACTGTACAACAAATGAGGACAATGGGCTCAAAATGTAACCAATGAATAAGTATCTTGATCAGTGGAAGAAATGTACATTGCAATTTGATAAATATATTTATCAATATATAAAATGTTTTAAGCAGAGGTGAAAGCACGAATGCATATAATATTCAATATTTAACATATCAAAAACAAAAAACATTATATCAATATATAAAAATGTATATCAAAGCAATTGCCTACAAATTATAACTCACAAGCATTTACTCTATTACTCACGACTATTATTAATGTATGTACACTCACACTCATCTATTATTCCATCCAATTTTCCCTTTTTTCAAAGAAATCCCTGAGCCCATAAAATTTCCCTTCTAACCCGCAACCCTATACCAATTATAATCAACCCCTAAATGATGTCCCTAACCCTAGGACAAACTTTGTTGGGAGAGGGGATGTAGTCTTTTAGAATTACTTCCAGCTGTCATGGGGGCAATGTTCTTTCTATGGGATGCTGAGAAAGTAAAATGATGGTTAAGGTCCAAGATTACTGTGTGGTATAACTGCAAATAGTCTCTGAGTATTTTGTAAAGTTTTTGTGAGCTTCCTCTTATAAGGTCTGTCCACAACATTGTAAAAAGTGGACCATTTCAGCTAACCAAGTTGGAACCATCTTGAGCAGCTGGTAGGCAAAACACGTCTGGTAGTAGCACTTTCATCATCATGCCATCACAGCACCCAGGTTGAGTTGTTGTTGTGGGGCCCCAACTTCTTCCTGAAAACTTCAGAAATTACTGCAGGAAAATTCATTGTTCATTGTGGACAACTTAAACATTATTTATAGTCATATACAGACATATATATTCAATGACATGTACAATAGACTCGAAAGTAGAAGTGTAGAAAAGTGAAAATTTTTCTAAATTCTTTTTTCTTTCTGTCCCATGCTCCTGACATTGAGAGAGAAACTCTGAATTTTTTATTTTAATGACATGCTTGGATTTATAGAGTGACAGAGTCAGTGTCCATCTCCAAAACCAGCTCTATATATTCATAAATATACATCCAGTTATAAAAGACACCCAATGAAATGATAGGATAAAAGTGTACATTACAGAATCTAAAACGAATAAAGGGGCGTATATGTGTATCATGTAAAAGTGTAGATCAGTAAAATTAATTTTAAAAAGTAACTACTTATTTATGTATTTTACATTGATATAGGCATGGATGCTCCCTTTTGATATAAACTTGACTTTTGATTAAAACATACTGTCTATGATTTTTATATTCTTACTCAAACTATTTTATCTAATTCAACTCACTTAAACATGTAATGAAAATTTCTAGTCCTTGAAAGTTATTATTATAAACCAATTAGGATATAAAGTACTGCATGTTAGTACTTTGTTATTTATTACAATGGAGAATTATACTCAAGTTAGGTATGTTTTCAACATTATATGGAATTTCATTAGCTGATTCAAATGTAAATATTTCAGAGAAAATGGTTGTTGAAGTAAAGCAAACTTTGTCCCCTGGGAATTACTTCTGAAAATATACAAAAAGGTGATTATATTAATTATTCAGCATATAAAACTTTTATAAAAATGTGAGCCCAAAAGTTAAAAATTAGGAGAGATTATTTGTGGAATCTTAATAATTTTCAGAAATTGTTGCAAGTCATTGGCCATCTATATCCCATTATTGGAGTAAAAAATTGAAAATAGTAATTAGAACCAAACCATAAAAGGTGACAAGTCAAAGAGAATTATCATCTAAAACAGGAAAAAAATGATTTAGTAGAAATAAAATTATAGGAGGCACTTATGGATTGTTTGGATCTGGAGTTTGGTTACATTCAAGACTTTATTTTTTTTTGATACAGGTTTCTCTGTAGCTTTGGAATGTGTCAATGTGTCCTGGAACTACCTCTTCTAGTCCAGGCTGGCCTTGAACTCCACCTGCCTCGCCTCCCAAGTGCTGGGATTAAAGGCTTCAGCCACCACTTCCTAGCCTTCATTCTAGACATTTTGCGCTCTATGCATTCCCTATAGGAATTTTACTGCAGAGGAAAGATATTATCTTATAATCAATATTTTAAACATATAAACATACTAAAAAACTAAAAAGTTATGTGGAAAAAAACTGAGTTGTTTTTAAAAAGAAAACTGAAACTTCATCTATTAGCAAGAATTTACCAAGGTTAAATT